TTTAAATTCAATTACACACAATAAAAATAAAGATATTATAATAATGAATATCGTATTTTTAATATAAAAGTAATATTTTTCAATTTACCTGATAATATGGGGAAAATCCTTCTTGTTGTACGTAAGGTATTAAACGATATTGTTGGAGTAACTGAGCACAAAAACCAAAAATGCAAATCAATGTTATGTTAAATATATAACAACAATTATGTAAAAGATTAGACTGCAATATTATTATTTTTATGGTTTTCATCTAAATGATATTTTATTTTTTTTGAAACACAATAATAATTTAATATTTTATTTTGAAAATAATAATCAAATTTCATAATGCAAATATAAATCTATAATATTAGTTAGTTCATATCTATTTAGTTTGGTTTTAATCCTTTAGATACACTTTTATATTGATCATGGGCATACTTATCACTGAAATTTGTATATTCTAATGCAGGTTTTAAAAATCCTTTCAACCCTAGTTTTGTAAATAGTTACTACTAAGTATATACAAGTAATAAAATTACTTGTCAAATAATACAAAATGATTTCTAACAAAATATAACATAAAATATGAGAAAATGGGTCTACAAGTTATTGATATGTTTTATTTTATCCTGTACATATTACTTTATTACTACACATATTATAATTTTTTTTAGCATTATACATATACTAAGATAAAATAGATAGGTATTAAACTAGGTATTAGTTGAAACAATTTTTAAAATGATTTTACAACAGTGTAAATGTTCAATTATTGTTTGAATTTTAAACTATAATCATAATGACACAAGCAGTGAATTTTAAAAACCACTAAGACTACAAAAGACTAATGTGAAACAGATTACAATTTTCTATATTCTAACCTTATTAAATTTACATATATTATGTCCTTACCTTACATTACTTGCTCTTAAATGAACTATGAATTGGAAATAATTATAAAAATACAGTTGTTTAGGTATTATAATTTAAATTAATCTGAATATTACATTTCAGTTCTTGTATTACGTGCATAATGTATATATCCTATGCTTAATTATTATTCTATCTTTAATACCATAATAATTATAAATGTTTATAAGTTACAAGATTTTTAATGTAGTTTTTATAAATATACTTACAATCTGTTCTCTTTGAAGAAGTAAATGTGAGGTGGGTGCCATTTGAAATTGTCCTAAATATTTTTTATATTTTAATTGGTATTAATCTTTTGGAATATTTTATATTTTTTTAATATAAATAATTTTCGTACCATGATAATTTATATAGTAGTTTTGTTGAGAGGTCATCTGAAAATTCTGAATATGTACATAATTTGACATTAGGACTGCAGTTGTTTGGGGAAATGGATTTGGGCCTGAAAAAAATAATACTTTTTATACATAAATATAAAAACTATAATTTAACACATTTTATTGGCTTCTCGCATAATGCTACTATTATAATAATAATAATACTAATCTTAAAAGGTACAAATAATTATAAAATTTTCAGCGAAATGTATCAAATTAATTTTTATAATTGTTTTTTTGTCTTTTTTGTAAACAATTTTTCTACCAGAAATCTTCCTCCAATGTAAAATTAATACACATTTTCTTGAGATATTTTTGATTTTGATAGTTGGTATGTATTTTAAAGGGTAGTTTTTTTGTTAAATTACCATCGTTTTTAGTTGGCAAGATTTACAATTACCTACAGATGTACATTATATTTCCCCTATAAATATTACCTGCCAACTTCTTACCTACCACAGTACAGCAGCCCTCCCATCTTGCGTATATGCCTGTATTTTGTTTTGAAATCCATATTTCATAGGTAGGTAATTATTAAATATAATTTAACAATATGTGTAGACAATTTGTTATTTGTTAAAAAAAAATGTTCATATCTCTTAAAATTATTGAAAGAAGTTTGGCTAGGAGCTGGTTTCAATTATTTAACCTTATTTTTAAAATTCATGATATTATGGATATTTTCTTACTAGGATTATGGAAATACAGTATATAAAATAGCTACCTAAATTACCTTTAAATGTTGTATACCAAGACAACTTACTTTGATTCCTTTTTTGGTTTGGATTCATATATTCAGTTAAATACTCTGGCAATACACAACATAAATAAATGCACTACTATATAGTTAGTAATTTATTATTAAAATATTTAAATAAATTATATTATAAGTTTCTTAAAGCAATGATAAAATCACCGTATTGAATTAAATACATTTTAGTTCAGTTGACGTATATAACTAAATTAAATTTAAGTTCAATGTTAGCATGATTAAAAATTTGAGGTTAAGTTGTCATGCTTGTATTTACTAATACGAGATCAGAATTTGCGGCAATTTGTTTATTATAAATGTTGATAATAGATTAAATTAAAATTTACTCAATGTCAATTAAAAAACGATATAATATACAAAATGTTATGATCTTCATTATTTTGTCATATTGTTTAATTATTTATAATACCCAGGTTAGGTTATGTTGAGTTGAATATCATGTTATGATAGAAATTAATAATTACATTTTTTTTTTTTTTTGATATCAAATGTGTTTTCTGCAATCACCTTATATATTTCAATCATAGCAACAGTACTTCACAACCACTTGTTACTTATTAGGGCAGTGTAGCCAAATTTTCGTTAACAAATCCTTTTCGCAGTTCCGTCTTCAATGACGTGTCGTTTTATTTTAATGCCGCCTTTAACTTTATTTTGATTCATTCTACTATTACATTAAGTCCAATATTAATATAATGTTACAGATTATTATAGTAGTGGAGGGGGAATTGATAAGAGAGTCTTATTCTTTATAGATTTATACTACAGTCATAAGTTATAGATATAGTTAGACAATTGGTTATAGATGGTCTACTCCAGCGTGATACAGTTATTGAAAAATGATACGAACCGTTTTCGATAACGTAACTCGACGGCATAAGATTTTGATATCATTTATAATATTTATTTGTATCTCTGATTCGTTTGAGGTCACAGATAAAGTAATTTTACATTCAAATATTATAGTAATATTTAGTATTAAAATATTACTAATTTAAATATAGATGTAAAATTTTCGCTTTTGGACGGTTATTATTAAATCCTATCATTATTTGTCTTTATCATTTTCAAATAACTATACTCATCCCATCTACACCATACCTACTAACGTTATAAATCATTAGTAAAATTAGTAAGATTGAAAACATATTTAGTAGGTAGAATTCGTGTATGCTGGGCAGTAGTATAAAAAAAGCTATTCTGTTGAACACAGGGACGTCTCCAGACCTTGACTATGGGGGAAAGGGACGCGAAATAATAAAATTTAATATTAATGATTGATAAAAAAAAAATATGAATATATTTCGCACATTTCTATAATAAAAACATTATTTTCGTATATTTTCCCGTCTTTCTCATGTAAACTGCTTAGAAAATTAAACAATGACCTTATCATCTAGTCAATATGACAATATTTGCATACAAAAAAGGTGCTACATTTATATATTGAAGCAATATTTCTGGCAGAAATTTTTATCACAGTAAATACAATAGGTACATTCTTCGCTACACTCAGAATCTAAAATTTAAATTAAATTAATCATTTCAAATTTTGATTCTAAAAATATATTATTTTATTATATTTTTGCAAATTAATTGTCCTATATTAATAGCTTTTCATAATTCTATAACACTATTGAAATAATATTTTTTAAAATTCATAAATGAGAAGTGTTTCATTTTTGTTTCAAAGTATTTCCAAGATCCGGAATCATCTTTATGGCATTTGGAACCAGTTGCATTTATACTTACTTATACTTAAGAATTATGAATATTTTGTATAACAAGAAAGAACATCACACGGATTATAGGAGGGACAATCGCCCCCTCTCTCAGGGACGCTCTTGGTTGAACATGGGATTAATATGTTTAATTTTAATTTGCTGAATATTATTTTAAATATACAAAAAATTAAAAATTACATTATGTGACATAAAATTTACCCGTCAAACTGCACTACGGACTACGTCAACAATTAGATACCTACCTACTACCTATATCACAGCATTACACCTTTGAAAACGTTTTTCTATATTTGTTTTATTGGATAGATTGGATAAATACAATAGGTAATAGTCTATTAATAATGGTCACCGTTTCACGAAACTAACTGTAAAATGTTTTACATTTATGTATGTTAAGTTGACGCATGCATAAAATTCAAGGTTTCTGAAAGCTTTGTCTAATTATTTTGAAAATATGATATCCAAATATTTATATCTTTGTATAATTTTTTTTTACTAACTTTTTGTTATACCATAATAGCTCAACAATTATTTCGGTGTACAATTTAAAAATTACATACAGATATTTAACTTACAAATATTTATAATGATAATTTAAATGATTATAGATTCAGTTACGGGTTTAAAAGATATAGAGCGTGATAAAAAATAAAAATCAATAGTTATAACAATAAAAGGTATTAAACGGAAAAAATTAGATAATAAAGTTAGGTAAAGAAAAGAAATATAATGCATGGAATACAAGGAATAGCTATAGTTTGAATTAAACATACATTTTCTAAGACTTTCAACTGTAAAACTAATATTGGTGTGATAATAGATTTAAAATCATCGATTATTTTTTTTAAATGCTCCGGTTGTTCGATTGTCAGTTGGTGATGAATTACTCTGGGAGTATGCGACCTTTGGTGCGATCCACGGACGAATGATTTTCCCCACACTTAACACAGTGAGGGTAGTGAGAGCAATACTTATTGGTATGACCAAGTAAGGCACTGAGTATGACACTGAGGTGGCCGATTTTTTTTATATGATTTTTCTATTAGAACCATAATGTGAGGAAGTGAAGAAATTTTGAATATGTCTGCGTTATTTCGATTTTTGTTGAGTTCCACCAAAAATAATGATAGAGGCAATTTGTTTCTTTTTTAATATTTTCAATACGTCTGACTAAGTGACTTAAATCACTCAGTGTATTAGTGATTTCGACTCTGGGTGTGGAATAGTGCAAATTCCTGATAACGACCCAAAAAGAGTTGCATGGTGTGCACAGTATTTATGAAACTCCAAGTCTGTGTTGTTAAGAAGTTCGATAAATAAACTAAAATTGTGTTGATCATTCGGATAAACAATTAGGAACGATTGTGCGGCTTTATGGGAGAAACTATTAATACCTGTGAGACTTAGTAATGTCTTTTGAAATGAAGAAAAGTTAGTAATGTTATTGATATAACGAGGACCTTGGAGTGGAATAACTGAATGTGGATCTCGAAGTTTTTGTTCACGGCCAACTGCCTTACTGTTAAGCGAAATAAATACCATACATTAAAATATGCAATAACTGCATCGTCTACATCCATCGAAAGGACGGCGTAGCGATTTGGAGAACTGAAAGTTTTGGATTTTTGTCATTCTGTTTGAGCGATTTAGATGTGGACGTCAAATAAAGTTTGTTATTCGACATGAGCGCAATCGAGAACGTCAATTCGCCACATTTGATATTTGGTGATAACGCGGCACGCACGTAGGTAACCGGTTGCACGCACATACAAACGTGATGACGAGAGTTATCGAACTGATCCAATTACAAATATAACATAAATGTTTTATTGTGAAATGCGTGTTTTGAGATGATTTTCCAAATAATATGTTGAGACTCCGAATATTTACACAACTAACTATAATCAATACGTGTTTTATAAAAAACCGCAACGTAAACAAGGAAAGTATATTTGTGATATATCTATGTGAAAATAGAATAATGTCGATTGTTTTGTAGGAACTTAAATTTTACATTAGGAATGGTAATATCTTTTGGTTTAGGGTATCAGAAACATATTTTGAGGGAATACGATCATTTTTTTTTCAGCAAAAAATGATTGGTGTCCTTTTTCTAGTTATAAAAATCTTTTTTTCTCAGGCATTACCCCCTTCCCCTGTTACAGGATTGATAATTAATATCACTCTCCTAAAATAATTACTGGTAAAAAAATAATTATTTTACATAAATACTTTTTTATAAACTGTCAGTTAAAACGTTACTGATGTACCCCTAAAATGGTTAAAACGATACAACTTTAGCATATGATAGGTAGCTCAGTAGATTAGGCGTTAGGTGATTAAGAGTACGCTGCCCTCAGAATATAAAGTTAACAACACTAGTATTACAGGAGGAACTCGAGAAACTAATTTAAAAAACGACTTTTCGTTTCACGGAACTAATAACGCAATACATGTACTTTTCATCTATAAATGTTTGCCAACACTCGAATAAAAATCGAATTCTTTGAAAAGTATCGTAGCCAAAAAAAATGTTCAAGAGGGAATTTAATTTTTATCTAGTTTTTGTCAAGCTAGAATTATTAATTATATTGTTATTTTTTGACTCCCTTATTCCCTTATTATTTATATCCCCTTAATTTAACAATGTTAAGTTAAATCAAAGTTTGTAGCCGTGTAAAAAGATGTTATATTAATATATTGGGTGCGGGTCATTTGGTCTAAAATTATGTATAGTCGACGGTTTAGTGATCGAAACGTCATGTAATCGAAATTTTATTTTGATCAATAAACAAATAGTCGATTATTTTATTAATATGGTCGAAATATTTAGTGGTCGAATAGGTTTTTTCTTAAATTTAAATTAATAATTATCGAAATTGAAAAACATACCTCATTGAAATGATAATATTTTGATTGTGATTATTATTGCGTAACGTGTTAATCTATTGAAAATTAATTGTTTTTACGTCAATTTTTAAGAAATTTAAACGGATATTACTCAGAAACTATTGATCGGATATGAATGTATTGTACAATAAAATGTTTAGAATAGTATTTTTTACAATGTGGTTAGTTTGAAAATTTTAAAAAGTGAAAAATTACTAATAATTTTTTCAGTGATTAAGGAATAAAAAATAAAATATTTTTCACTACTTTTGTGTCCCACTGACCCAAAACCCGATTGGAAAAAAAACCAAAAAATAAATAATATAATGATATATAACATTCATATTACATTGCAGAACACTTTGTATATAATAGTTTTCGATTATTTTATCTAGTATTTGTATAGCTGTAATCCATAGGAGGTAAAACACGCTTTATCATTTTGTTGCTCTACTGTTTTGTTGTAAGTTTGGAGCAAAATTGCTGATAGAAAACTTGTTCACAAAAAAAAAGAAGGCCGTAATATATTTTAACTAATACTTAGATTTCTTATACATTTTCCCGGTTTTTTCGGCTTTTAAAATTTAATGAGAAAACTCCTGAGAAAATCGAAAAATGACCTCTTTAAACTACCTCCCTACGCCAATTTGCTTTCAGAAAAAAAGCTACACGTAGAAATCCGAGCAAGTCTTCTAATCAAAAAATTGCACACATAAAAAAAAAAATAAAAATCTAGATAATATTACATTTTGCTGATTATTATTTTATCCTTAATTATATTTTGAGTATTTATATTTTTCTTTAAATATGCCCACCGATATATGTTTATTTTGGCGCAATAAAAATAAAAACTTAGTTTTTTCTATTCCAAAAAAATAATGCCATTAAAAATGTCTCGGTTGAAGTTGTAGGTCGATAACTTATATGATAATAATGTAATTTTTTTATTTTTATTATGTGCTAAATACTAATTATTTAAGTACAAAAAAATTTTTTTTTTACTTGATAATAATTTGTTATATACATTAAACTTAAAAATGTTACTTGTTTTTTAAATTAAATATGCAGGATCATTCACTCTAATTTTTTTTGTTATATTTTGCATACATTCAAATACTGATTTTTAGAATTTTTTAGTGTAGTTAAATTTAATATTTTCGAATAGTTAGATTTTTCACAACATTTAAAGAGTACTCTTGTTCTGATATCAACTTTGGTTTTTCAAATGAGAACCTATAATAAAAATTCCATAAATAGACGGAGTATTAGTTTGAATACATTTGTGTGTCAAAATTTTTGATTTCCATTAACCCGTTGACGAGATATTTTCCTTTAAGTTTAGGTAGGGGAAGAGTTAGCACCAATAAAACGCTACGCGCCGTGCCGCCACACATATAGTACTCATAATTTATTTACAGAACCAAATAATTGTAACTCTTTGCAGAACGATTTACAGATTAGTATTTGCATTTTATCAATGTTATTATTGCTGAAATTTCTGATAGTTTTTTTTTTTTTAAATTTATAATTCTATTGCTAAATTTTAAATGTAACTTAATTTAAATCATGGGTTTGTTATCCTCATCATCATCAAGTAAAGATTAATTTATTACTGATATGATGACCACACTACCAAGGCTCAAGTTATATTTGGGATAGATCGAATCCACTAATTGAGTTTAATGGTATACATTTAAAACAACGGTTCAGATACTAACGTAATGGCTAATAATAAAATAATATAATGCATTTTTTTCTGGCACAGAGATTCCACAGTTTTATTACTTATCATACTTATCTACATGAGTGATATAATTATGGTTCAGGATTATCAAATATAAATGATTTAGTTTATCCGGTAATCATTGTTATTATTATATTTTAATTTACAGATTCATCACAAATTTGTGTGTTACACTATTATATGTTACAGGCCTATTATAATTTACAGGCATCTATAAAATATTTGTACAGATCGTTTGTACGATCCAGCCTAAATATTAAAGTATGTTATAGATAATTTAAAGCTTATCATACATTTTACCCATCACAAGCCCGATTAAATACCCAGACAAGTATAGAGTTCCTATATAAAACTGCATTTATAACGATTTTATTACTACACGTTAATCTAATTTAAAACGAAACGAGTAAGTATGTTAGTTTGGATTTTTTTTAAGACGTGTTACTTAATTTTTAATCAGAAAACCTTAAGTTTTTTTTTATATATTTATTAAGCATGACTTATTATTAATTAGAAAAACCCGGGAAATGACGAAAAATGAAAACTAATAAATTTACGGCGCTTGGATTCCTTTGTTTTAAATTTGTATAGCTCTTGTTTTCTATAAAAAAAATAATGCTCTAACAGAAAAAAGCGATCTTTTTGTTGAATTTTTAATCTATTTGGGGACCAAAAAAGTCGTCTTATAATTTTCTTTGTAATTTTTTTTAAGAATTGAGCAAAACGCAAACACGTGTAGAAAGAACTGGACAATTTTCGATAATAATTTTGTTATTATTTTATTTTTTTTTAAATATAGTTCAGTTATATTCGCTCCACTCAGAATCTAAAATGTCCAATAAAAGACAGTTGAACTATAGTTCAAATGCATGACATCAAAATCTAAAAAGACTGCAAACGCTCAAAGCAGTGAGTATTATTCTAATTTTTAATACATTTTTCCTGAATACCTATGAGCCAATATAATAATGTGCCAAATTTTCATTAATCGAGTTTTTTTTTATTAGCTACACATTCTTATTGTTTCCGATTGTTTGTACTACGTTTATACCGGTTTGTACCAAAAATGTCATCGTTTGTACCGAAAACGGCAAAAGTACAAAAAACAGTTATTGGTGTCTTAAGTTTAAGTTAATGGTGGCTTGAATATATTTGCGATAAAGTGAAATGCCCTCTTTGAGGTAGTGATAGTTGCCTAGTGACATAACAGTGCTGTATTAAATACCTACACTACAATCTATTCACTTTAAGAACGGTACTCGGTATTTATGTTTTTCGAATGGGATATGGTATGAAAACTTGGTATGGCCACTAACCACCGAGTACCGTTCTTAAAGTGAATAGTTTATAAACAGTGTGTCTCACCGTATTCGACGGATTTTTCTAGCGCTGTTACATAAAATTGTTTTCGTTTTTATTTTTTTCAATCGGTTGTCTTCGAGGGGGACATCTATTTAGAGTAAAATTAAATTTTTGTTTTCATTCCCTAAACACAAAAAAAAAAATAATAACTTTATTTACAGAAATATTATACGAAAAATTGTTTTGTGTCACACATTCATATCCGATAAATAGTTTCTAAGTAACGGCCGTTTTAAATTCTACTAAAACGTGCGAAAAGCGACCCTAACGATTTTTATTACGAGTACTTTGTGTTATGTGATTATTATTTGCTACTTCGTTAGACGTTAGTCGACTATTAAATCGTCTGGACTTGACTATTAGCTACCTACTACTTAGGTGAGTTAAACTTTTAATTATTGTATTTAATTGTATACAAATTTATTTATTATTTATTATTTATTTATGGCTGAGCAACACAAGAGCGTCCATCTTCGAAAATGCAGGGGGGGGACGCTGCATTTTTCTGTATTTTAATGTTATTGCTATGTAAAATCTAATTTATCAGGAATCGAATTGTAAAAGTATACTGAAATATAATGTAATAATATGCACTAAACATATTAAAAATAGAATGCTGATACCTACTAGCTGGGGATGGTTGTACCACTGTTGTAGGTGAAACGTTAAGACGGTAAGATACATCATAA